CAAAATGTACTGCTACAGAAATCCACTCAACTACAAAGGAAGACAGTAAGGACAGAAAATAAAAAGGATCTACAAAACAACCAGAAAGGAAATAACAAAATGGCAGTAACAAGTCCCTATATCATCAATAATAACCTTAAACGTAAATGGATTAAATGCCCCAGTTAAAAGAAAGAGTGGCTCAATGGATATAAAACAAAAATCAACAATATACTGCCTACAAAAAACTCAGTTTACCTATAAAGACACACACTGACTGAAACTGAAGGGATGGAAAAAGATATTTCATGCAAATAGAAACCAAAAAAGAGCAGTAGTTATATCAGATAAAACAGATTTCAAGCCAAGGAGAGTAATAAAAGATAAGGAAAGTAATTATAAAATGATAATGGGATCAATTCAACAAGAGGATATAACAATTCTAAATACATATGCACCCAACTCTGGAGCACCCAGTAACATAAAGCAATTACTATGAGACCTAATGGGACAGACAAACTCCAACACAATAATATTTGGGAACTTACATATGCTACTTTCAGCAAAGGACAGATCACCCAGACATAAAATTAACTGGGAAACACGAGAATTAATCCTTACTATAAGCCGACTGGACCTAATGGACATTTAGAGAACATTTCATCCAACAGCTACAGAATACACATTCTTCTCAGCAGCATATGGAACATTCTCTAGAATAGGCCATATGTTAGACAGGAAACATGTCTAAATACATTTTTTTTTCCTTTTTTTTGTCTTTTTTCGTGACCAGCAACGGATCGCAACCCTCAGTGTCGCGCCCGTACCGGACCGGGACCGGCAACGGGATTGCAACCCTCGGTGTTGCGCCCGCACCTCGCTCAGCCAGTGAGCAGCCGGTCTGTATGTGGGATCTGAACCCTCAGCGGGAGCGCCGCTGCGCTCCCAAGCGGCACACTGTAGCAGTGCGCCACCGGGCCGGCCCATGTCTAAATACATTTTTTAAAAAGTAAAACATATCAACTACCTTGTCTGACCACAATGGAATAAAAACTGGAAATCAGCAACAAAAGGGATACTAGAAACCATATAAATACATGGAAATTAAACACTATGCTCCTAAGCAATGAATGAGTCAAACAAAAAGAAAATTAAAAACTTCCGGGAGACAAATGAAAATGAAAACACAACATATCACAATCTATCAGATACAACAAAAGCAGTTATAAGAGCAAAGTTTATAGCAATAAATGCCTACATCAAAAAAGAAGAAAGTCTTCAAATAAACAACCTAACATTATGAACTAAAGATCTAGAAAAAAAGAACAAACCAAACCACAAATAAGAAGGAAATAACAAAGATCAGAGCAGAAATAAATGAATTGTAGATTTAAAAAAATTCAAAAGATTGATGAAATAAAGAGTTTTTCAAAAAAACACACAAAATTGATAAACCTTTAGACTAGCAACAAAAAGAAGATTCAAATAAATAAAATTAGAAATGAAAAAGGAGACATTACAACTGAAACCACAGAAATTCAAAGGATCATAAGAGACCATTGTGAACAACTATATATGAACAAAATGAAAAATCTAGAAGAAACAGATAAATTTTTGGATACATACAGCTAAACAAAGTTGAATCATGAAGAACTAGAAAACCTAAACATACCAAAAATGAGTAATGAGATTGAGGCAGTAATAAAAAGCCTCTCAACAAAGAAAACCCCAGGAACACATGGCTTCACTGCCTAATTCTACCAAGCATTTAAAGAAGAACCAAAACCCATTATTCTCAAACTCTTCCAAAAAATTGAAGAGGAGGGAGTACTTCCAAATTCATTCTGAGGCCAGCATTACACTCATACCAAAACTGTAAAAAGACACAACAACAAAAGAAAACTACAGACCAGTATGCCTAAAGAACACAAACACGAAGATTCTCATCAAAATATTAGCAAATAGAATACAGCAGCACATCAAAAAGATTATACATCATGATCAAATGGGATTCATCCTAAGGATGCAAGGGTGGTTCAACACACACACATCTATAAACGTGACACATCACATCAACAGAATGAAGGAAAAGAATCATATAATCATTTCAACAGATGCAGAAAAAGCACTTGAGGGCCGAGCCCGTGGCGCACTCAGGAGGGTGCGGCACTGGGAGCGCAGCAGCGCTCCCACCGCGGGTTCGGATCCTATATAGGGATGACCGGTGCGCTCACAGCGCTCATTGGCTGAGCGCGGTGCGGCCGGTCTCAAAAAGGACAAAAAAAAAAGTTATTCTGGCTGGTGGGTGAAGAATAGTAGACTGGTGCATGAAGTGAGGGAAAGGGTTGAGCAGGAAGAACCAGAGTAGAAAGAGGAAGATCATTTAGGAATCTTT